AGAGGACTTTTAGAACAAGAGGCTGTGGACATAGTGGTGCATACTTATAATCCTAGCACTCTGGGAGGCTGAGGCAGGAGGATTTCAAGTTTGAGAACAGCTTGGGCAATTCAGTAACAACATATCCTGTCCCAAAATTAAAAAGGGCAGTAGGGTGGGGATTTAGCTCAGTGGGAAGGTCCTGGGTTCAATCCCCAGCACTGAAGGAAAAAGGAAGGAAGGAAGGCAGAGGGTAGGAAGGAAGGCAGGCAAGGGGTAGGAAGGGGCAGACAAGAAACCAAGCCTGAGCAGGAGCTGGACGGGGCTGGTTCTGGTGGAGGGGACAGGCTGACAGCTGCGTCCCCTCCCTAGGGTATGTCCAGGGCTGCCGTGCATTCATGATCACCGCCATCCTCCTGGGCTTCCTAGGCCTCTTCCTGGGCATGCTGGGGCTGCGCTGCATCAGCATTGGGAGCGTGGCGCTGTCCGTGAAAGTCAAGCTGGCGGCCACCGGAGGGACCCTACACATACTGGCGGGTAACTGTGAGGGGAGCCTAGGAGCAGACCCCGTATTCTCTGTCCTCATGTCCAGCTCCCTGAGGCTAGCCTTGCCTCGCCTTCCCCACACATTGACATCTGCCCTCTGCTGCTCGGTTCTACACGCCCCCCGTCTGTACACCCCACATCTCTGGGACCCGATTGAACCTATCAGCAGTGTCTTGGGCCCCACTGAGGCAGGTGTGGAACTTCCTTCCAGAGCGTACAGCATGGTGGGGAGCTGTGTGTGTATAAAAGCATGTGAATACACTGCACACAATTAACAGTACCTTTGACTGGCCATAGCTTTTCAGTTTGCACACCTGTGCACACATGGCCTCACCGTAAGCTGCCAGGGTAGGAACTGTCAGAAAGGCCAGGTAGCTTTCCAGAGGACACCACCCACTGAGTGGATCAAGGACAGCCCAGGGCCCAGGGCTTTGGGGTGCAGAGGGAAAAGGACTGCAGGAGGTAGGCCAGGAAGACTTCTTGGGCAGGTGGGCTTTGGAGGCTGGGAGGACTGGGGTGTTCCGATTCCAGGTGAGGAAGGGGGTGACACAAGCCCTAGGAGAACAAATGAACAAAGCTGGTCTAGGACAAAGAAACTGGGGATTGGGCCAGAGTGGTGGGAGAGCGTGGGCTTGGGTAGGGGCCTGAGTACCAAGTTGGAAGTTCACAGCTGACTCCAGGAATAGGAGGGTTTATAGGCTGCAGCAGGAGAGAGGAACTGAATAGAATTGTGGCTCCTGACCTATTCCCCCTGCCCACCCCCTTCCTAAGCCCCCAATCGCCCATGTGGCTAAGGGACACTATCGGTCCTCCCGCCTCTCAGGGGTCTGTGGGATGGTGGCCATCACGTGGTATGCGATCAACATCACTCAGGATTTTTTCAACCCTCTGTATGCTGGAACCAAGTGAGTGAGAAGCCCACCCTCGGGAACAGCTGGTGGGTCTCCAGTGCCCCGGGCTGGTACTCACTTCCTGTCTCCTTCCTGTCACCTTGGTGCCCAGGTATGAGCTGGGCCCTGCCCTCTACCTGGGCTGGAGCGCCTCCCTGCTCTCCATCCTGGGTGGCATCTGCCTCTGCTCCAACTGCTGCTGTGCCTCCAAAGAGGACCGCGTCACCAGGTAGGGAAGGAGTGGACAGCACGGCAGGCGGGGAGCGAGGGTCAGGCCTCCCTGTGACCCTGCACCCCCCCACTCCCAACAGGGCCCAGCTTCCCTACAAGGCGTCCACAGTCCAGATGCCCTCTCCAGCCTCGCAAGAAGAAGGTGACATCAGCTTTGGCAAATATGGCAAAAATGCCTATGTGTAGGAGCTCTGGCCTGTTGACCCCACTGCCCCTAGGACCCTATCCTCCCTGGAATAACCTCAGGGCAGGCCACACACCATGTCTGGCAAGCACATCCAGGACATGCCCCTCACCTGGACATTCTTCCTGCCCCTTGCAGGCCCCTTGCAGGCTTCTAAAAACTCACCTGGGCTTCCAGGGGCAAAGGGAAGGAGCTGGCTCCCAGCGTGTGTGTTCTGTATAAATAAATGCATGAATAAATGTATACTGAGATTTCTCAGGTGTGAGGCTGTCAGTAAGCGTCCAGCCCAGCAAGAGGTGGGAGATGATACCAGGAGACAAATCAGGCTGTCTCCATCAGCAAAACAAGTGTTGCAAGTGATTTCAAGAGGGTGACAATAATTTAAGTCACCAGGGAACAGATATGGGAAGCCCCCCCCCCCCACAATACTTGTTTTCTCACAGCTTCTGCTGGGGAGCTGGTCTAGAGCAGTTTCCTTACTGGGCCTGGGTGTGGATGCCCGGGATGGGCACCCCCTTTGGAGTTCTGCTCTAAATAAGCTGGGTCAAGGCAAACATGTTTCTGTGGGAGGTTTATTAACTTTCAAAAACTCTGAAGATCTGTGTGTGTGTGCAAGGTTTGGTGGCATCCAGCTGACATCAGGTTCTGGGTTGTGGGCAGCCTCGGCATAGTCCAGTGGGTAGCAAGTAATGCTGGTACCCACTCAAGAGAGCAAAATGAAACCTAGACAGGAGCCTGGCATCCAGTGGGAGAAGAGGGGAACAGGGCCCCAGGCCAGTGTCTCCTCTGAGCAGTCAGGGATCCCTGACAGCAGCACCTTCTCTTTCTCTTTAATCTCTGCCCACTAGCTTGTACCAACTCCACTTCCTTTCAGGAAGCTAATCTGAGCGGAGTCCTACAATTAAGCACTTAGGCATGTGCCTTAATACAGCTATTAGGTTAAGGGCACTGGACAGGGGACAGTCTCTTTCTTGCCATAATCTGGGAGATGGTCTTAACACAGGCAGAGAGGTGAAAGGCCCTGTCTACAACTAGTGAGGGCCAGGATTTCTCCAAAGCTGAAAATGCAACTGGCCCGCTTCCCAGAATTCCTAGCTCTCCTCATTCAATTAAATGTAATGCTCAGGGGGCACTTTAGAGGAGTCCTGTGTCCAGCCTTCCAGACCCTGGCACTAACCTCCTCTTCCCTTGTTCTAGATGGCAGTGCTTTCCCTATCCTGATATTAGGTGTAGCTTCTAGAAGCTTTTGGCAAGGCATAGATTTCCCAAAGACCAAGTATTGTCAAAGGAGAGGAACAAGTCTCCCCTGGCACAAAGCAAGCTGGCAGAGCTGCTCAGGGCTTGGGGGAGAGGGCCATGCTTCCTGGAGTCAGGCAGCATCGGAGCAATGGGACCCCGGGGTCTGGCTCTGTCCTCTCAAGGTCATTTGGGAAGGTGGACAGATCTCCCACCAAGCAGAACAGGTGTGACTCTGACAAGACCAGGGAAGGGAGAACCAACCAGAGGAGGCTGTGCTGACATGCTGCACATCTGGCAATGTTTCTCATCCAGAAAGTCTTTCTCCCTTGTTTTCTGGCTTGAGAGTACTTCTGGTAGGAAAGAAAGGGCTGGCAGAGGATCGGCTTCAGATCCCAGAGTTTGGCCTCCTGAGAAACAATATGCCAAGGCAGGACTTGCAGCCTCCAGCGGGACTTACAGGGCCTGTTACTGCTGCTACCCACAAACCACCCCAGAAACTCAGCAGCAGAAACAACTACTTACTATGCACACGGCCTGTGTGGCTAAGGGTTCAGACAGGCGCAGCAAGGTGGCTTGTCTCAGCCCCATGGTGGTGAAGGCCACAGACGGGGAGACTCAAAGGGCTGAAGGTGACCTGGTGCTGGGGGCTGGAACCACCTGAAGGCATCTCTCCACGCTGCTACTGGCACCTGGGCAAGACAGGCATGTGGCCTGGCTCACCTGGGCCTGACAGCGAGGGTCCCTGCACATGGCTGCTCTGCATGGCCTTTTCGCTCTAAGCCCTAGATGTCATTTTTCTAATTCCAGCCATTCTCTGCTGTGGGAGCAGTCACAAGCTGGCCCAAGTTCCAGGGCAGGGGACAACCACCCACCTTTTGATGGAATACAAACTTTAAAGGCACTTTTTAAACTACCATACCTGTATTATCCCTAAACCCTGTGGCCACCACCACCATCCAATGTGAAGCTGCCACCAATACCACTTGTCCTGCTGTGAATTTTCAGAGAAAAGAAGAGCAAGTGCCCAGGAAAACACTGTCTCCAAAGCAGAGAGAAGGGCCTAAGCAGGTGCCGAGCATTGGCTTTGCTGGGCCTCAATAATATTTTAAGGTCCTTTGCTCAACAAATACAAAGCATCTCTTTTGCTAAGTGCTTAACCAACAACTCCATGGAGCCTGAGATTACATCCCGTGACCCAGCGCAAGTAAGGATTTGAGAAGGACTAGTGCCAAAGGGCCACCAAGGACAGGACTCCCCCTGTGCTTCCCAGGAACTTCTGGGGTCCACACGACAGCCCTCGACAACAGGGGTTTCCTAAGGACAACTGCTCTCTCAGACCAGTGGCACAGAGACAAGGAACAACCATTTGGTTAAATACCAGATGACAAAGACCCGCCTGGTTCTTTCAGCATCATTCTGTGCCCGTTTCCCAGCCCTTATTACCCCACTTCCCGGTCACCCAGGAATCGGGCTGTACTTCAAAGATACTCAGAGGATCCAGAGACATGGAAAAAAAAGGGCATGGTGGCGCATGCCTGTAATCCCAGCACTCGGGAGGCTGAGGCAGGAGGATCATTGCAAGTTCGAGGCCAGCCTGGGTTACAAAGTGAGTTCAGCCTGGATTACAAAGTGAGTTCAAAGCCAGCCTGAACTGCATAGTGAGACCCTGTCTCAAAAAGACCAAAAAAACCTAGATCAATAATGGTGAAAGACAGGAAGAAGAAGCCAAGAGAGGCAGAGCTGAGTTGTGAGAGTGGCAGGAGAATGGGACAAAATCTCTGTGATCCGGGACACCAACAGGCAGACAGTGGAAGGGGTGAAAGGCAGGTCAGAGGAAGAAACAGAGCAGTGAGAAAGAGTGACAGTCCCTTTCCCCAAACACCCAAAAACCAAGCAGGCGTCAGACATGGTGGGGAACATCTGTAATCCCAGCACTCAGGAGGCTGAGTCAGGATTGCTGCAAGTTCAAGACCAGCCCGAACTACATAGTGAGACCCTGTCTCAAAAAAACAAAACTAAGCAGGAAGGCTCTTGGCACCAGGCCTTTTATTCCCATAGTGCTCTGCGGCTGGCCCCCTGCCCACAGTTCCTGAGGAAGCCTTGCCTCCTGGGCAAGACACAGCTTTGTGGCTGAGTGAACAGCTCCTCCATCAGGGGGCGCCCCTCTTGGTCATGCTCTTCAGAGGCTGGTGGGGGACTGGGGCTTCCTTCTAGGGACATTAGGCTCACACCGTCCACTTCAGACACCTGCAGAGAAGAGCAAGCCCGGGAGGAGGAGGGTGGTCAAGGGTCTGGGGAGGCGCTGGGGTGGGGTGAGGGTGTGGGCGCAGCCTGGCTCACCTGGTCTCCTGGTGGGTGCCCAGACAGCGCACGGTGCAGTAGCGGGCGCCACAGCTGACACAGGTGTATGGGGAGGGGAAGCCGCACACAGCACAGAAGGGGCGCTGGGGCCGGGATGGGGGCCCTGCGCAGGCCGTCAGGTAATTGGGGCCCTCAGCCACACTCAGGTTCTGCAGGCAAAACGGGACACCTGCACCCTGCTATGCAACTCACGCCCCAGGGGATGGGGTCTCTGCGAGCTTACCCTTGCCAGGGTCCCCCCACTGGCTCCTCTCTCACCTGCTCCTCCAGCAAGGCCTGGAAGTTCTTTCGGAAGCGAAGTTTAAAGTGATCACCGCGCGTTTTCTTCTTTTTCTTTCCTGGGGGCCAAGAGCAACGAGCTGCCTGCCCCTTGCGGAGAAAGCCACCACCTTTCTCTGGCTCGGTACTGCCCGGGTACAGTCCCTGCCCACAGTGACCTGGGTCTGAGCCTTCCTTCCTGTAAGCCTTTGCCCCTCACCCCTACTTCTCCAATCCTGGCCCACCGTCACCTCCATGCACCTCAAACTGAAGGCCGACGCAGCTCATCTACTCATCTTCTTCACTGTCACACACGAGGAAACTGAGGCACAGCAGGGGAGAGTGCTCACAGCCCCAGGAGCTTCCAAGTCATCTGCCTCCCACTCAGTGTCCTCCCACGGTCCCCACCTGGGCCGACACGTCCCCTTCCTCACCAGTGTCCGCATCATCATCAAACTGAGGCAGCCTCTTGCCGAGCTGGGGGAGACCCGCGTGGGGGTCGTCCTGGAAGTTGTCATTCTCCAAGGCCTCGAGCTGCCTGTTGATTCGACGCTGCCGGGCTGCCCGGTCCAGCACCCGCCGCTGGCCAGGGTCCTGGGAACGCACTGGATGGGGCAGGGCAAGGAGAGTTACAGGAGAACAGAGGGGCCTGGGGAGCCTTGGGTTGGGGGCAGTGCGTGCAAGATGCCCAAAGGGTAGGAGGCCCAGGCTTTGGTCCCATCTATCACCAAGCCCATGTCCCCATTTCTCCTCCTGCCCTGTCCGCCCTCTGGTCTGCGTCATTCCATCCATCCACAGCTTCAGCCTCCTGTGCCTGCTTTGTAGCCCTGGGGATCCAACCCGTAACACCTGCCTGAAGACTCATGCAGCTGGGCTGAGTGGGAGCTCACTGTGCACCCAGGGCTTCCAGATTCCTCTGGAATCTTTGTCCTGACACCAAGGCAACAGGGGCCACCCCCAGATAGACACACCACTTAGCCCACTCCCCCCATTCACGATGGATGCACCCCTCACCTGAGCCCCAGGAAACTCGCTGTCTTCTCTGGCATCATCAGTCACTCCCTGCTAAACTCTCACACGTCTCCAGTGTCCCAGCTACACTCCTCCAAGAGGGGTCCCTGTGATGCTTCACCTTCTCACCTCCTGCCCACTCCCACCCCTCGGAGGCTGACTCCCGCCTGATTAGTCAATGAGAACTGCCCATGGCCGGACAACTGGTGACCTCCTTGGGCCAAACTCAGGATGCATTTCTACAGTTTCCCTCCAGCTGAGCTCTATGTAGTGACTGTGCTGAGCGTCTTCCCTGGTGTGACTCCGGCTTTCCTCTTCTTCCTCCTCTCTGTCCCCCACGTCAGCTGCACTCCCTGCCTCTGTGCAGATCATCTCTGCCTGTCCCTCTTCTCAGTCCGTACCCTCTTGCTGGCTTTTCTAACCCTGATGCAGGACAGTTGACTCCAAATGGGAGTCTCTCAGCCCAGAACGCTGTCCTGAGCTCCAGAGCAGGCTGTGCCACCAGCTGCAGGACATCACTGCTGACCCCAAGGACACTGCAACTCAACATGAAACTTCCCAAGTCTGCCTCTCTGCTGCAGACTCCAACGGAATGGACCTTCTATGCTGTACATTTATCCAATCTCCAAATTGAAAAGAAAAGCATTTTACTATTTATTAACATTTTTTAGTGCATCTGAACATATACAGACTTTTCTAGTCATCCCCTAAACAACAGTCTCAACTATTTACACTGCAGTAGGTTATTATAAACATCGAAAGATGATTAAAGTCTATGGGAGCATATGTATAGGGTCGACGCACATACAACACCCTTTTATACAAGGGACTTGAGAATCTGTGGATTTTTGTACCACTCTTTGCGTACATTAAATTGTTTCAACCTCACAACAACTCTGTGAGGGCAGGTGTGGTGGCGCACACCTGTAATCCCAGCACCCAGAGGATCACTG